CGCTCCGCGGGGGGTGGGGGGCGCCGCAGGACACTCCCCAGGTCTGCACTGCAGGGTGCGCTGAGTGTTCCGCGCGTGAAGGCATAGAGACGCGGCGGGCCGGCTTTTAAGGGAAGGCGGCTCTTGATGTCACCTGTTACTCTACCTGGGACGCGGACGGTGCGCGTGCGCACAGTGGCCCCAGGCGAAGGTTTGTGTTTGCGGTCAGAATCTGTATCGGAGTCCCTAATTCGGCACACCTCAAGGATCAATGAAAAGCGACTGGTTCTTAAGTGAATAGTTTTATTTTCAATATTTTAAGATTCCAGTTGTTCATGGAAGTGGGTAATGATAGGGGGCCTGGAGCCTACCACGTAGGCATTAAGAGGGAGCACAATTTTTGCCTTTGGCACCAGACTTAGATTGGAAATTGGGGTAAAGTGTTTTTGTTGCAATCAAGTTTTTGACCATGTGTTCCTTGTGCTTCTGGGTTTGTTTTATAACTTGTCGAAAACCATGCAGTTTTCTGGGAGGATTGGGAGATCAGTACAAAGTGGTTGCTCTGACTACAAGAAGCGTTTTGTTCAAAGCTCTCTCCTCTCCACCCCTCCATCCAGCTATTAATAGAAAATAAATTAATCGCTGTTTTAAATTATGTAACCCCCCCGAGATTGCTGGGGTTTTTAATTGTTATTTTGCAGAAATGACTGTCAATAGGAGGAATATAATTTTTCTGATAGTTTTCTTTTATCTTGTGTTTTAGAGAGAGAAATGTCATCAGTGGAATCACACCAGAAACAGTTGACTTGTCAGATCCATCCCCATCACCAAACTCATGTAGTTCCTTTGAGCTAATAGACATGGATGCCGGCGGTTTGTATGAACCAGTTTCTCCTCACTGGTTTTATTGTAAAGTAATAGATTCTAAGGAGACATGGATTCCTTTCAACTCGGAGGATTCACAGCAGCTGGAAGAAGCATATAGCTCTGGTAGGAGAAAAATGATGACTTACCATAGACAAAGACTTAATGTCATCTCTCTCAAACTATAATATTAGTCCTTATAGTGAATGCTATTAAAAGTAAATTTTAGATTTTTTTTCCCCCTAGGCATCCCTTATAGCGTTTTTATACAGAAGCTCTGCATTACTAGTAACCCAGACAATTGATAATGTTTAAGAATTTGGTCTGTATCTCAGTACCTATTGTAATTTCTGCATAGTTATCCAATAATATTTCTTAGTTCTAGGTTATGTTTCAGTTTTTGTTTATAAAGAGTGTGTATGTGTGGGGAGGTCACATTCACATTGTAACAGAATGAATTCTTTAATTTGTCACTTGCTTTTTTCTTTTATGAAATATGATGCTAGTTATTACTTTTTCATCATGATGGTCATGGTCATTAATTTACCTTTTGGTCCCTCGAGGAAAAATTTCAGAAAAGCTGTCTTATATACATTAATATATAGATAGATAGATAGATAGATAGATAGATAATATAGATATAGATAGATAAAGATATATAGATATATTGATTTCAGAGAGGAAGGGAGAGGGGGAGAGAGATAGAAACCTCAGTGATGAGAGAATCATTGATCGGCAACCTGGCATGTGCCCTGACCAGGAATTGAACCACAACCTCCTAGTTCATAGGTGGACACTCAACCACTGAGCCACTGGCCAGGCTTAAATACATTTTTGTGGTTGTTAATCCTCACCCAAGGATATTTTTCCATTGATTTTAGAGAGAGTGGAAGGGAGGGGGAGAGACAGAAAGAGACAAACATTGATGTGAAAGAGACCCCTCAGCTGGTTGCCTCCCACACACGCCCGAGAGGTATGTGCTCTTGACTGGAATTGAACCCAAGGCCCTTCAGTTCTTGGACCCATGGTCTCCACTGAGCCAAACTGGCGAGGGCTATATACATTTTCTTTTTTTCAAAGGGACACTACTATCTCCTCAGAAAAAGAACAGAACAGTGTTTGGGTATTATTTTTTTCATGTTTCATTAAAACCAATAATGGTTTTGATGGTTTGTAAAATAGTGGAAGGTAGCAATTAAATTCCATTTTGTTTAATGTTTATCCAAGTAGAAAATGTTCATTCATGTGTTTCTTGACATTATTTAGAGTATAACTCAGAACTGTATTTCGGGAGATTTATTTTTATATATGTACTTCTTTGCCTCTTTTCAATTCTTGATAGGAAAAGACTGTAATGAGAAAGTTGTCCCCACTGATGGGGGCCGGTATGACGTTCATTTGGGGGAGAGGATGCGGTATGCTGTGTATTGGGATGAGCAAGCATCAGAAGTGAGACGATGTACCTGGTTTTACAAGGGAGACAAAGATAATAAGTATATTCCCTATTCAGAGAGCTTCAGCCAAATATTAGAGGTATTCCTTTTACCCCTTTAAACTAATTTTCTTTATTTTTTTTTCTTATTTAATCTTCTCTTCCTCTATGGCTTATATTGTTTTGAAAATTTCAGGAAGAGTTTGGTTCTATCTGCACACAGTTTATAGTCTTTCTTTGTGCAAATTAGTTTCAGGATAAAGTAGTTTTTATTTCCAGATTTTAAAATATACTATGGAAGTTGTTATGCCCTTAAATGAAGAAGTATTTTCCCTAATGGTGATTATTGTTAATATTTAAACTCTGACCACAGGATTTTCTTTTTGCCTTTTATTTTTCTTGCTCTGAAAACTGCCTGAAATTTGCTTAAAGTAGGACATTATTATTATTGAAATAAATATATAAAAATGTGAACAATGATGATCTCTAGTCTAGATGGTGGAATTAGGATTGATTTTTTTCCTTTTTCCTATATTAATGTTGCATTTAAAAAGAATTTTGAAATAAATTTGATAAATCAAGAGAAAGAGCTATATATGTAATATATTCCTAATTTTATGGAAAATATACATGCATTAATATTATTGAAAGAAATATATAAGAATGTGAAAAATACTTATCTCCAGTCTAGATGATGGAAGTAGGAGTGATTTTTTTCTTTGTCCCATACTATTACCTGTTGTAATTTTAAAAATGAATTCAATTAATTGGAATAGGATATTCTTATTGTAATTGTTTACTTAGTAGTATCCTCTTGAATGTTAGTTTTAATAGGAAAGCAATAAGAGAAATGTAATGAAATGTGTTGTTGTTTTTTTTTGTGTGTGTGTGTGTGTGTGTTTTCTTTTAAGGAAACTTACATGCTTGCTGTAACTCAGGATGACTGGAAAAAGAAACTGGAGTCTCCCAACAGAGAAATTATTGTATTACACAATCCAAAGGTAAAGCAAATTAAAAAGCCTTTCTCTAATATTGGGATTGCAAGTTAATTGCATTACTAAGGAGAACTTTTATTGGTTTCTTTTTCTTAGGAATTCTTCTTTGAATGACCTTTGGGAATTTTATATTATGTGAACAGTTATGAAACTTAAAAGTTATAGCCACTACCATTTTTATTTACCTTTTCACTTTATACAGAATATTTTCTTAGGGAAAGTTATGCCTCTGTAAATTCAGACTATCACTAATACATTATGTGGCATGTTTTTCCATGTGTAGGCTATTGTTGAAAGTCTGTTAGCTTGATGTTTGTTTTCTTTTTTTTTAGCTTTATTGAGATAGAATTGACAAAATTATAAGATTTTTTTAGTTTTTTAATTCTCATCCAAGGATATTTTTATTGATTTAGGGGAGAGAGAGAGAGAGAGAGAAGAGAAACATCCATGTGCAAGAGAAACATCCATTGGTTGCCTCCCGTACATGCCCTGATTGGGGATTGAACTCACAATCTAGGTCAGTGATGGTGAACCTTTTGAGCTCGCCGTGTCAGCATTTTGAAAAACCCTAACTTAACTCTGGTGCCATGTCACATCTAGAAATTTTTTGATATTTGAAACCATAGTAAAACAAAGACTTATATTTTTGATATTTATTTTATATATTTAAATGCCATTTAACAAAGAAAAATCAACCAAAAAAGTGAGTTCACATGTCACCTCTGACACGTGTGTCATAGGTTCTCCATCACTGATCTAGGTGCATGTCCTGACTGGAAACTGAACCCATAGCTTTTTGGTGTACGGAACGATGCTCAACCAACTGAGTGTCCCAACTGGGCATAAGATATTTAAATTGTACAACATTAGCCAAATATATTTTCAGGGTTCTCATTTCCAACTGTAGTAATTGCATATCAAAACTCCATTTGAGATTTGACTATGTATTATGTTTTGAAAAACATGTTCCTGCCCCTCATTGTATAAATAGAGATGTCTTTAATGTAGAATATCTTCATATCTATTCACTGTGAATGTTTTATTTTATTGATTAAACTCTATAGAACCAGAAAAGATTCAGTGGTATGTGCTGAAAATAGCTTATAGGATTAAACAGTTTTTGGCATCTTTTCTATTTAAGCTTATGGTGCATTACCAGCCAGTTGCAGGGTCTGATGAATGGGGTTCCACACCCACTGAGCAGGGTCGACCAAGAACAGTGAAGAGAGGGGTTGAGAACATCTCTGTTGACATTCATTGTGGTAATGTTAATTATTAAATTTTTTCTTCTGATATACTGATTTATTTATGGCTTACATTGTGACCTTTTTCTATGGCTTTGGAATACCTCAAGGCTTAAACATGATCTTTAATTACATGAGCTTATTTGGAGTTAATATTAGCATCACTTCACCTACTACGAATCTTAATAGGTAGAGAAATCTCTTTTAAAGTTGCTAAGTATGTATAGTAGGATGGATAAAATTTTGCAGTACTAATCAGAAATTCGTTAAATACAGACGAACTGACTTAGTCCTAATTCTAAGAAATATGATTCCACCTGTTTGATTAGAAATTTAGTACTTGTAACTCCTGTAGTTGAAGATTTTCAACTAAGGAAAAGTATTTTCCAGTACAACCTTGATAGTTATTCATTGCTATCTAGGGTTGTTTATGTTTAGTTTTATAATGTATTTAACTGGATTACAAAATTCTTTTTATCTTGCAGAGGTGATAGCTTGTCTCTTGCACAAAGTCTTAGATATACTATAATTAAAAAGATGGTTTTATAATTTTAGGCTTCAAATACATGCCAGACATTATTGGTACAATTGATAAAAATTGAATATTAGGTAAGATTATTTATTAATGTTAAAAATTGCTTGAATTCAATAACTGCACTGCGTCTGACAAAGAGAATATTCTTAGGAAATATACATTTAAATATTAAAGGTTTAAGAGTATGATGTGTGCAGTCTGATGTATGCAACCTGCTCCTAACTGGTCAGAAAAATAAATGTGTATGTATGCATAATGAAGCATATTGGTAAATGTTAGAGTGTTGAATCTGGGTAAAAAGTACATGTGAGTTTCTGTACTATTCTTCCAGGTTTTCTGTAAGATTGCAGTTATTTCAAAGTAAAAAGTTTTAAAAACGTGAAATTTTTTTCATAAACTTATTTTAAGATAAATTAGAAACAAAGTAAAATCACTGTGCTTTTACTAAGTAGTTATATGCAGGATTATTTTGTGTCCATTAAATTATCTGCTCATATTTCAACTTGCTTATTTTTATAACCCATTCATTGTGAATGTTTGATTTTAGAATATGGGACTAGTTCTGTAGAATAATTTTTCTTTTTAATTTCATTTAAAGGGGAACCTTTACAAATAGACCATTTGGTTTTTGTAGTCCATGGGATTGGACCAGCTTGTGATCTCCGCTTTCGAAGCATTGTACAATGTGGTAGGTTTGCAAAGCATGTAAGATTAGGTCACTTAAGGAGAATATTAGTCAGTGCTCCTGTGAGCTGAAATAAAAGGTTGTCTTTAGTCTGTTATTCCAGCTGCATAAAAACATTTGGAGCGCTCAAGACAGGTGGCAAGATAGTAAAGCTTCCCATCTGAGGCATAAAGTACTAGTGAATTCCGTAGGCTAATAGTTTATACTCTTAACTAATAATTCTTGAATGATTAAGCCCTTAATCCTTTAAAATGCCTTTATGATGTGATAATCCTATGTCTAATTATTCCAAATTTAAAGAAACTATAAAGATGATATAGTTTAAATGAATAACAGAAACCAGTCATTTTTGTAATTCATACTGTGATAAACCTCTTGAAATTCTAATTGGACTATTTAGGTCATTAGCATAACTTGATCTTGAAAGGTAGTGTCCTCTAAAACTTGATAGTATTTAAAGTCAATTGTCCCAATTTTACTTACCCTACTGGCTGATGCTTCTAAGCCTAACCCTTCTTAGAAGGTTAAGATTGATATAATATGAATTTCAAACAGCTGTGTATTTTTTTAAAATCTAAAATATTGGGTAGTGGTTGTTTGTAAGAACTAGAAAGTTAGAATTGGAATCTGACTGCAAGTTATGTGATATTTTTTTTTCTTTTTAAAATTGAAACAGTTCCCATGACACATTAGAAATTTTGAAGTTAGCTTTTTCTTTGATGAAATGTACTAGTATTGTATAGTAAAAGCAAGTATTAAAGGAACAGCTTTTCTTACATGCATTCATAATTTTTCTGAATACCACTTTGCTACTTTTGACTCAAGTAAATGCATGTTCTAAGCAAATGTAGATAGAGATTATATTTATATGATCTATTGCAAATTCATTGCTTCACTGTTGATGCATAAGTTAATTTTCTTTTCAGTTAATGATTTTCGCAGTGTTTCCTTAAACCTGCTACAAACACATTTTAAGAAAGCCCAAGAAAATCAGCAGATTGGGAGGATAGAATTTCTTCCAGTCAACTGGCACAGTCCTTTGCATTCTACTGGTGTGGATGTGTAAGTAATACCAACCGTGATTGTAATGTGTTCTCTGATCATTAAAATACTTAGGGATATTTCTGCAACAACTGATTGTATATTTAAAATTTTGTTCAACGAAAAGATTTTTGTATTTCTTTTTTTTTTTTTTTAGAGATACATTATTAAATGCTAAATAATCCACTCAGCCGGTATGGCTCCATGCTTGAGTGTCAACCCATGAACCAGGTCACTGTTTAGTTTCTAGTCAGGGCACATGCCTGGGTTGTGGGTTCAATTTCTAGTAGGAGGTGTGTAGGAAGCAGCCAATCCATGATTCTCTTTCATCATTGATGTTTCTATCTCTCCCTCTCCCTTCTCTCTAAAATCAATTATAGAGATATTTAAAAAATAATAAATGCTAACTGGCACCTTGGTTTAACTAGTTCAAGTTAGGAGTAAAGAGCTGTTTGTATTTTCTTCTAGTATGTTTTACTGGCTCATTAGTATTTACCATTACAGCTTTTCTTATTTCTTTAGCATTAAAGCCAAACATTGCTTTCTCCCTATAGAGTATAAACATTTCCATCTTCGGATGTCAAAAGTCCACCTACCTTAAAATGTATATAGTATTTTGTTGTTTCTTTTTTAAAAAATATATTTTTATTAATTTCAGAAAGGAAGCGAGAGGGAGAAAGAGAGATAGAAACATCACTGATGAGAGAGAATCATTGATCGGCTGCCTCCTGCACACCCCCCACTGGGGATTGAGCCTGCAACCCAGGCATGTGCCCCTGGCCAGAATCGAACCCGGACCCTTTGGTCTGCAGGCCGACGCTCTATCCACTGAGCCAAACCAGCTAGGGCTTTTGTTGTTTCTTTTATGACCATATTTAGATAATATTTGTCCCAATTTGGGAAAAAGGGAAATCCCCAAACATTAAATTATTATCATTTATACTTTGGGGTATAATTGGTACAACTCCTTTTATGTGATGGTTTTCTAAGTTACAAGCCCAATAGTTTTGTTTGTAAATTTTATGGTAATGTCAGAGAAGATTGCCTTATATTAAGGATATTCAGCTATGCGCTCTTCAGAAAGAAGTATGTTCATCATATACTTCTACGATAGAACTAGGAGATGCTTCTTTAGAAGATAAAGAAAGCAGTCAGCATTATTTCCATGCTGGTCTTGGAAATGGCTTCCCTGATTCTGTCTCTTAAGTTCTTAATGACCTAGGATTTGAGCATATTCCATGTGCCAGATGCTCCACTGTAGTGTTTATTTTAATGGGTATGACGTTCACATCATATTTAAGCTGATGCTCAGAGATGACTAAGGTCATTTAGCCTCCTCTAAACTACAGAAACTGTTGAATCTTTAAGGAATTTCTCTGGGAATTTTGAGAAAGTTTTAACTGGAAGTTGATTTAGAAAATGTCAGCATGGTTTTCCTTTGTGAGACATGAGTTCTGTTTGCCTTTGGCTTCTTTCAACTTTAAGAAATTCTACATTGAGAGCTGATCTAATTAGTCATTTGGCTTGTGATCAAACAACTTTAATGCTGAGGATTCTCGGGAAACCCTCTTGTATGTTTTAACATTAAAAAAAATGATTTGGAGAGAGAAACATAGATATGAGAGCAAAACATTGTCAGCTGCCTTCTGCATGCCCGCTACTGAGGATCGAGCCAGAAACTCAGGCATGTGCCCTGACTAGTAATAGAACCGGCAGACTTTTGATGCATGGGGTAATGCCCAACCAACTGAGCCACACCAGCCAGGGCTCTTTTGTTTTTAAAAAAATCCTTTTTATTACAGAGAATTCTTTACACAAAAGTAGCATATATGATGAATTTTTCTGTACTGATTATGATTACCCATTCCCAACAAGCCTCAACACATTGCCAGTTTGGCCCTATCCCTGTCAGCCTACCCCTGTCTACTGCTCCCTCTATTATATTGTTTTTGAGTCAAATCACAGATATATTATTTCTTCTGTAAACGCTTCAGTTTGTATGTTTTAAAGGACTTTTAATAAAATACAACCGTAATACTATTCACACCTAAAAATTCTTAATATCAGCAAATATACAGTGTTCAATTTTCCAATTTTATAATAAATCTTATGATTTATATATACACACATATATAATGTATACATACTCTCACGCAAAATTGATGTTTTTCTCTCTAATAAAATGCACACATACATACATATATACATACATAGTTTAAGCTAGAATCCAAGGGTGCCTTTTAAGTCTCTCTTAATTTCTTGATTACTTTTCCATCTGTTATTTTCTTGCAATTTATGTATTGAAGAAACTGAGTTGTTTGTCTCTGAATTTTGTTGATCACATCCCTTTGGCTTCATTAAACCTTTCTCTCTGTCCTCTATTTCCTATAAGTTGATAATTGCCTCTTGTATCTTTAACTATCTAAGTCTAAACTTGGAGGCTAAGCTAGATAACTTAGAGGAAGTTACAGAATGTATTTTGGTTTTCTTTTTTCTTTTAATATATTTTATTAATTTCAGAAATAGGAAGGGAGAGGGAGAGAAACATTAATGATGAGAGAGAATCATTGATCAACTGCTTCCTGCATGCCCCCTACCTAGATGGAGCCTGCAACCTGGGCATGTGCCTTGACCAGGAATCGAACCCTGATCTCCTGGTTCATGGGTTGACATTCAACCACTGAGCACTCCGGCCAGGTGTATTTTGGTTTTCTGCTTAAAACATCTTTCCTTTTTTTCAGAGATCTACAGCGAATAACCCTGCCCAGCATTAATCGCCTAAGGCACTTCACCAATGACACAATTCTGGATGTCTTCTTCTACAATAGCCCCACCTACTGTCAGACTATTGTGGACACAGTTGCTTCTGAAATGAACCGAATATATATGCTTTTTCTGCAGAGAAACCCTGATTTCAAAGGGGGTGTATCCATTGCTGGTCATAGTTTAGGTAACAAATGAATTCTCTGTAACCAGAGAGGACGATCACACTTTTAGGACACCTGTTTTTGAACAACAATGTCTTTTATCAGTATCAGATGCAGAGGTCTAGAACTGGTCTGTGATGAAGAATTTGGAAAGGGTTGGAAGGGTGGTGGTGGAGTGGAAAGAAGACTCCCTGCTTCATAGATTTTGCTACATGGGTAATTGACTTATTATTTTTTTGTATAAAAGACAACTATTTAGAAATTGTCCCTTCTTTCTTCTATTTTACTTATAGGTTCGCTTATATTGTTTGATATCCTAACAAATCAGAAAGATTCTTTGGGGGATATTGACAGTAAAAAGGTAATTTAGATGTTCAGATAGGTTCTCTTTGCTTAGTAAGGATTTTTTCACTTAGTTTAGTCTCATACCATAACTTCAAATTTACATTTATTTTAATAGACTTGTGATTATCTCTGTCATTCTTTGATGATAGAAGCAAGATAGCAATACACTTCTAGAAATATTTGCCAGTCTAAAATAACTATACATATCTTATTTTCCATTATAAGTATGTACTACTGATCTATTATTAGAATTATAAAATTGAGCTGAAATGGAGTTTGCATATGATAAAATGAAGAATGAATTAGATACAGATTGATATAATTTATAGTAATTGTTTGAAAGCAGTGGGAGGACTTAGTGTTTAAACATCTTTTAGTAAAATAAAGTCCTCTGAACACTTATCTCTAGTGCTGAGTTAGTACTTAGCAAAACTGTCTTATATTTTTTCTCTTTTTGATGCAAGTGTCCTGTGAGTTCTCCCAGTGCAGGGGCTTTGCCTTAGATTGTTTTGTCTTAGACTCTATCCCTAATAAGAGCTCAGTTTTGTTAATGATAGTGAACAATGCTTTGATGATTATTCACTCATTTGTTTATTTTAAAACATACTAAGTTTCAAATGCAGAAACTTAAAGATCAGCACCTCTTAACTTATATTTTATATAAATCACAATTTAAAGTTAAGATACATCTCTGTGGAAATCTTAGCTAGTACATATATTTATTGTGAAATGGTATTAATAAAGAAAAATATAAGGAATGTAGAGAATAATGAGCTTTACAATTTAATTTTTAGGATTCGCCAAATATGGATCAAGGAGACACACCGACAATAGAGGAAGATCTGAAGAAACTTCAACTCTCTGAATTCTTTAGTATCTTTGAGAAGGAGAAAATAGATAAAAAAGCTCTGGTAAAAAATAACCTTTTATAACTTCATGCCATACCATTTTTAATATTTTTTACTATTTCATCATACTGCTTAGTAAGAGCCTGCCCTTTGGAAGCATTTTAGTCATAAATACTTTGTTATCATTAGTAATGTTCTTTAGCATTATTTATGTCTTAAAATCATATCAAGTGATCTTTGCTTTGTGGGAGTTTAAAGTTCAGAAAAGTCATATTGGTATGCTTATAGCAATAGAGCAAAGATTAAAAAACAGCACATCTCAGAAAACATGAGAGGAAAAAGAAATGACCAGTAACTATTCCAACTCTTATTTTCTGTTATACTTTCAAGAGCACTACTATAGATATTTGCTTGTTTAGTTTTTGTTTTTTTTGCCACTTACATTGTGTTTTTACTCTGGTTTCAATATGTTAATTCAATGGATATTTAGTAAATCTTTACTATGATATACCAAGTACTAAAGATAGAGTGGTGAATAAGACAGAAATGGTCCCTAACCTCATGGTGTTTATAGTTTACGGCTAAAGACACCTATTAAGTAATCAAAAACAAAATTAAATTACAATTGTGATAAGTTCTAAGTAGGAAAAGTACACAGTGGTATAAGAATGCATAGTAGGATGAACTGATCTAGTTTGGGAGGGTGAAGGAAGACTTCCCTAGTCAAGTGAGTAGCACATCAGCTGAGTCTTGACTGTTACTCTGTTTCATGCTCTCTGTTTGCTTTATGTTCTTACTGTTTGTGTCCAGGAGTAGGAATATAATATTTCTCAGGATGTGACATCCAAGTGAGCATGGAAATCAAGGAGGGTTTTTCTGTCATGAAGTTAGATACCTACTTCTGTTGATTTAAAAAAATAATACAGTGTTATCTATATTAATATAGATTGATACTATAGTATTGATATTTTAAATTCTTCTTTAGGCTCTTTTATGAATAAAATAGTATTTCCTTCTCTAACTTATTAATGATGTACTACTAGGAAGCCCTAGTAGTATAAATCAAAGAATAGCAGAGTACTTAAGCCTTATCCTTTTAAGAGAACAGGGCATTTAATTGATTTCATTATGCCTAGAAATAAGGAAGGTATTTGATTTTCTGTGCCTAGGCTTTATGTACAGACAGAGATCTTGAGGAAATTGGAATTCCCTTAGGACCAAGAAAGAAGATACTAAATCACTTTAGGACCAGAGAAAATTCAATGGTATGTGCTTAATATATATAGCTTATAGCAGTAAACAATTTTTTACATCCTTGTATCTTTTTGCTTTGTGAAGTCTAGAGAGCTAAATAATTTTGTTAATTGGTTTTTGGCTCTGTTCAAGAAATTAAACACATTTATTGATGCCTTGACAGTATTATTAGCTTAAAAAGTCATATCTCCCCTAGACTCTTGCTACAATTCTCATTTTTCCTTTTTTGTCTTATAACTGCTTTATTGAAATATAATTTACATCTCATACCATAAAATTCTTCCTTGAAGAGTATACAATTTAGCCCTGACTGGGTAGCTCAGATGGTTAGAACATCGTCTCAATACACCAAGGTTATGGGTTCAATCCCCCATCAGAGCACATCTAATTAATATATATACATATAAAACAGAAATATGCTAATTAACTGGGACGCTGCAACAGGTCAACCGGACAGGAGGTTGTGCGTGCAGCGTCAGGGGCAGGGGCAGGGGCAGGGCAGCAGGGGCCTCTGCTCGCCTGCGCTGGGGGAAGGCCTGATCAGCAGCAGCCACAGCTGCTTCAAGGGCCAGAGAGGGAGGCAGGGCCTGACCGGAGGGTGGGCGGTGCTGCGCGATTTTGAATCGTGCGCTGGGCTCCTAGTACTAGTATAAGAATCAACCAGTGAATGAATACATAAATAACTGGAACAACAAATTGATGTTTTTCTCTCTCTAATAAAAAATATACAATTCAGTGGTTTTTAATATATTCAGAGCTGTGTTACCATTACCACTGTCTAATTCCATTACCCTCCTCCCCACCAAAAGAAACCTCATACCCCTTAGCAGTCACTCCCTATTCCTCCCTGCTGTGGACCCCACTGATCTGCTTTCTGCCTTTATGGATTTTCTTATTCTGGGCATTTTCCTATAAATGGAATCACACAATATGTGCCTTATTGTAACTGTCTTCTTTCTCTTAGCATAACATACTCAATGTTTGTCCATGTTGTAATACTACTAATACATTCTGTTTGGCCCCTAAATTCCTTTCTGTATTTTAGTAGTTAATTATTTTTCAACTTTTTTAGCAGGTTGCTCAGTTCTTATTTAAGGCCCAGTATTTGCATCATTTTCTATACCCATAGAGACATTCTACTTGCTTTCATCAGAAAGGTATAGCACTTTATTGAACTCCTTAGCAATCCTCAACATTCTTTTCCACAGTGCTCTGCTATTGTTTCCTCTCATGATGGTTGCCTAGATGGCTGTGTACCACTTTCATCATTTTAGAGCAAATAGGGATGTCAATTCATAATTCCAGCCAACTTTTGTTTTTATCAACTTTATTGTGTTTTCATCAGCTTTATCTTGTTTTCTGAGAGACTTGTCTTGGAATTATTGGCTATCATTTCAGAACTTTCCCACACATTTTTTCAAACCAGTAGAAAACTATATAATCCTTTGGATATTTTTTACTGCATAGTTCCACAAAACTATTTTTTATTCTTTAGGGCATTAATACATCAACTCCACAATCAGCTTCAGGGTTGAATATGTCTAATATCCCCAAAGAATCTGAGTTCTGCAATAGTGCTGATGGTACTGGAAATGACTATCTGGATGTTGGCATTGGGCAGGTAACAATACTAATTCTCTTTGTTCATTTTATCGCCTGCCATTCATATGGTAAGAACAGATGTAACTTGTTATTGAGAAATGCTTTTAGCCCTGGCCAGTGTTTCTAAATGGTTAGAGCGTTGGCCTACAGAGGGTCTTGGGTTCAGTTCCTGGTCAAGGGCATGTACCTGGGTTGCAGGTTTGATCCCCAACCCAATCCAGTTGGGTGCAGGAGTCAACCGGTTGATGTATCTCTCTCACATCAAATGTTTCTTTCTTTTTCTCTCTTCCCTCTTCGCCCCCTCCCTCCCTTCCACTCTTTCTGAAAAAGCAATGGAAAAATATCCTCAGGTGAGGATTAACAAAAAGGAAAAAAAAATAGAGTAAGAGTGATGCTTTTATTTTCTCCTTCCAGGTATCCGTAAAATACCCTCGACTCATCTATAAACCAGAAATATTCTTTGCCTTTGGATCTCCCATTGGAATGTTTCTTACCGTCCGAGGACTAAAAAGAATAGATCCCAACTACAAATTTCCAACATGCAAAGGTTTCTTCAATATTTATCACCCTGTAAGCATTGGACAGCTCTTGTGGTTTACCTGAATATTAGGGTTTATGGTAAAGAGCATACAATTTTCTGTTGTGTTGTTTTACTTTTTATGTACTCTTCTCTAATAATGAGATAACATAAATAGTATGAATTCGGAAGTGATATGGCAGAACAACTGTGCGTTTAAAAAAAAAAAAGAGCTTATAATCATTCTTGCCTGATAAACATTAGCAGTTCCTCAGACTATCTTCAGCAGAGGTATAGGTAGCTATTGTTTTTCCTATGTAGTTTGATCCTGTGGCCTATAGGATTGAACCAATGGTGGTCCCAGGAGTGGAATTTGAGCCAATGCTGATCCCACATCATAAAGGCAGGAAGCGGATGCACTTAGGTAAGACTGAGTATAGAACTTGCTAATTCCAGACCTCTGGTCAATGCAAACTGACTGACCTCATTCACTTTGTTTAGTTGTATTGGGCCCTAAACTCATTGTACACCATGTAATTTTCTTTATTCATATGTGTTTCAGAACTGAGAGAGGGCTTGACCAGGATGAGTATGGACCTTAAGAACAACTTGCTAGGTTCACTGCGGATGGCCTGGAAGTCTTTCACCAGAACTCCAGACCCTGTCTTACAATCTTCTGAAACTACAGAAGAAACTGAAGCAGAACCTGTGTCAAGTTCAGAGAAGCCTAGCGGTCAGTGACATTGCATATTGATTTCCTACATCAGGCCTGATACGAGGGACTCCGTGGTGTGTAGTTCTTATTCTCAGAGGGACTTCTTACTTGACCCTGTTTTATTGTATAGGACCCATGTTGTGAGTCAAGATGGGCCTTCATCTCTGCTAACCTTTTCTATCATTTAATACCCACAAATTATGGAAGAACATTATTTGTGAAGAAGAATGTCAAGAGAAGCCAAGCATTGATAATGAGACTTTATTAAAACATCCCCAACTTGGGAACTATGGGGGTAATGTTAAGAGCCTACTCTCTGAAGCACCTTTTACAGGGGAATGTCTGTGTATTCATGGGCCAGTTTTGTTTCCCTGGCTGGGGACTAGCTAGGATACGCTCTTAGTTTTACAGTTAACATTGACTTTTTAATTTAGTTTTCAACTGTCTAAAGAGTTTTATCCCTGGGCTTGCATTTCATTTATAAACTAAAGGTAAATGAATTAGCTATCAAAGGTGCAAGAAAGAAAACAGGGATTAGATAAAATCAGTGTGACCTGAGAGCCTTTAAAGGAAGATGGGAGAGAGCTTTCTGAAGAGAGAGTAGCTCATTTTACAGTAAACTTGGAGTCCGAGTAGAAGTAAGGCAGCCTGGAGGCTTTAGGATCTTATTATGGTTCTTCCATATCCAGATGTTAACACAGAAGAGACCTCTGAGGCAGTTAAAGAAGAAGTCCCCCCCATCAATGTGGGAATGCTGAATGGAGGCCAACGCATTGACTACGTGCTACAGGAGAAGCCCATTGAGAGTTTCAATGAGTATTTATTTGCTTTACAAAGCCATCTATGCTACTGGTAAGTGTTGGGCATTTTTTGTTTCATTTGTTTTCATGTTTTTGGTGTAATTGTTTCATAGTCTCTAGGGAATCACTGATCTGCTTCTGTCACTATAGATTAGTTTGCACATGACTTTGATTTAAATGGAATCATACTATATACTCTTTTTTGTATGGCTTTTTTCATTCATTGTGTTGTGTGTATTGGTAGTTCTCTCCTTTTTATTGCTGAGTAGTATATGTCTGTACCACAATTGGGTTAGCCATTCATTCACCTGTTGATGGACACTTGGGTTGTTTCTAGTTTTTGGCTGTTATTGAACTGCTATGTTCAAGATTTTGTATGAACATATTCTTTAACTTCTCTTGGGTAAATATCTAAGAGTAGAGTGATGGGTAAAATGATTTTTAAAAGAAATTGCCAAACTGATTTTCTGCCAGCATTTTCCATTCTCAGTAGCAGTGTTTGGAATTCCAGTTGCTCCATAGCCTCAACAGCACTTGGTATGATTGGTCTCTCAACCTTTCTAAATGGGTTGTTATGGCACCTCATTACAGTTTTAATTTGCATGTTCCTAATGCATAACGACATTGAACGTATTTTCATGTCTTTGCCATCCATACATCTTCATTGGTGAACTATCTATTCAAATCTTTTCCCCATTAAAAGTTGGATTATCTTAGTAAGTTGCAAGCATTCTGTGTTCTAGTTACAAGTCCTTTACAGGTATATTTTTCCCCAGGATGTGGTTTGTTTTTCCATTTTATTTTAAAGGCAGAAGTTTTTGATTTTTATGAAATCCAATTTATTAATGTTCATGTTTCTGGACATATTTAAGAACTATCTGCCAATTCTAGCCTTTAAGATTTCTTCTGTGTTGTAAAAGTTATATCGGTTTAGCTTTTAAAGTTAGGTCTATGATCCATTTTGACTGAGTTAATTTTTTTTTTTTAAATATATTTTATTGATTTTTTACAGAGAGAAAGGGAGAGAGATAGAGAGTTAGAAACATCGATGAGAGAGAAACATCGATCAGCTGCCTCCTGCACACCCCCCACTGGGTATGCGCCCGCAACCTAGGTACATGCCCTTGACCGGAATCGAACCTGGGACCTTTCAGTCCGCAGGCCGACGCTCTATCCACTGAGCCAAACCGATTTCGGCATGACTGAGTTAATTTTTAATATGGTGTGAGGTTAGGATTAAGGTTTATTGTTTTGCAATTGTCCTAGCAACAGTTGTTGATAAGTTTATTGAGAAACCACTGAATTGCCTTGGCTAGATTTTGTCCCATTGATCTATTTATCTATCATTATGCCAGTAAAACAGTCTTGATTATTATAGCTTTATAAGTCTTAGAAATCAGGTATGTGGGTCCACCAATTTTATTATTTGAAGTTATTTTAGCTATTGAAGGTCCTTTGCATTTCCATATATATGTGTGTGTGTGTGTGTGTGTGTGTGTGTGTGTGTGTGTGTGTACACACACACACACATATATATATGTTTTGGTATTCCTAAATATTTTTATTTATTGTCTAAAGTTTTAGATATGTCTCCTTTTTCCCCAATTGATCCCCCCCACACACCCCCCAGCCATTCCCACGCTGGGCAAGCCCCCACCACCCCAGTGGCTGTGTCCATTGTATGCATGCATATTAGCATAACCAAGTCCTTTGGTTGCTCTCTAACCCTCCCCTCCCCTACCATTTGTCTCTAGATTCATCTATTCTTGTTCATCAAATTATGTTGATCATTATATCCCACATATGAGTGAGATCATGTGATATTTACCTTTCTCTGACTGGCTTCTTTCGCTTAGCATAATGCTCTTCAGTTCCATCCATGTTGTTGCAAATGGTAAAAGTTCCTTCTTTTTTTATAGTGGCATAGTATTCCATTGTGTAGATGTACCAGTTTTTTAATTCACTCATCTGCTGATGGGCACTTAGGCTGTTTCCAACTCTGTTAGAACTAGACCTAATAAATGAATTTGGCAAAGTAGCAGGATACAAAATTAACACCCAGAAATCTATGGCCTTTTTATACACCAATAATGAACTCACAGAAAGAAATAAAAAAACAATCCCATTTACCATTGCACCAAAAAAATTAAGACACCTAGGAATAAACTTAACTAAGGATGTAAAAGACCTGTACTGAGAAAACTTCAGGGCATTGAAAAAAGAGATAGAGGAAGACATAAACAAATGAAGAACATACCATGTTCATGTATTGGTAGAATCAACATCACTAAAATGTCAGTACTGCCCAAAGCAATCTACAGTTTCAATGCAATCCCCATTAAAATACCAATGGCATATTTCAACGATCTAGAACAAACTCTCCAAAAATTTAT